AGTTAAAAGAGGTTTATAGTGATGGAGGATGGATAATTGGAGGAGATTTCAATTCAATAAAGAACAATGGCGAAAGGAAGGGAAAGATGGTAGTTGTGGATTCTAATGACACGAGGATTTTCTCAGAATTTATTGAGGAAAGTGAGTTGGTAGATGTTCCTTGTAAAGGAAATAAATTTTCTTGCAATAATGGTGATGGGAAGTCTATGAGTAGAATCGATAAGTTCCTTGTTTCAGAAGAGATTGTGAATATATGGGGGGGGGGGGGGGGGGTTGGTTAACTTATTTCTTCTAGGGATTTATCAGATCATTGTCTGGTTTGGATTGTGGTGGAAAACTTTAATTGGGATCCCAAGCCATTCAAGTTCAACAATGAGTGGTTCACCTTCAACTCTTTTATTCCTTTTGTAGAGAAGGTGTATGGAGTTATTAAAGTGGAAGGAAGGGGCGATTTCTTCTTGAAATAGAAATTGAATTATTAAAGATAGGCTTAAATGGTGGAATAAGACAGTGTTCGGTAAAATTGATTTGGAGGTGGAGGATAGTGTGAGGGATTTGAATGTTGAAGATGATATGTTAGAAATAGAGGAAGAAGATTTGCATCCCAAAATTTTAGCCAAGAGGAAGGAGGCAACTAGTCGATTTTGGTTGAATTTGAGAATAAAAGAAAACATGCTTGTGAAAAAATCGAGAGTAAAATGGATTAATTATGGTGATTCTAATAGTAGTTTTTCATAAGGTGATGAAGGAAAGGAGAATACATAATCGTTTAGGTCCCATTATCATTTCAGGTGGTTTGGAGGATTCAATTATAGAGGTTAAGGAGGAGGTGTTGCACCATTTTGTGAACAAATTTGTTGAACTGGAGCGGGAGAGATTGAGGTTGGAAGGGATTTGGTTTGATATTATTAGTTTGGAGGAGATAGAGTTTCTTGAAAACCCGTTTTTGGAGGAAGAAATAAAGGATGCTATTTGGGATTGTGGGAGTTCTAAAAGTCCGGGTGCTGAAGTGGTAAAGCGGCAAGCAAAAGTAAGTATTTTTATAGGTTATATCATATCTTCTGCATATGGATTAGTGCTACTGAATTATCGTTCGATAATTTCTCGCATTTATGAGTTTGGAAATTAAATGGGTTTAAAGATGGTAAACGCGGGAATTAAAGTTATGAACATAAAAGAATTTCATTCTTCGAAATGGATAGAACTCTTGGGATTGAATTTCACATATATGTTAAATACTTAAACTCACTACCCAGTTTCAATCATCCTAAAATACTCATCAACATCATCATGTATCTCTCATACAAAGGTTATTTCTAACACAGAGCGAGATAGCAACCATATTGCTCGCATCGATAATGTCTCAACATAACACAAAATAACATATAGGCATTAAGAATCAATACCCACCTGAATAATAAGCCATAATCTATCTCTAGAATCAAAACCCAATAGATGTTCTTCCTAAATCTGGATTCGAACCATCCATTTCTGCAACAACCCAAACCCAAATAAAGCAAGCAATAACAAATATTAATTTGTAACAAAAACTTCATACAACACCATGAGTAATAAATATACATGCAAAACAAAGTATACTTACATACAAAACCCCAGAAAATGAGGGTACAGAGAGAAGAAAGAAGAAGATGAACAAGAATCGCTCAATTTGTCACTCCAATTAAAGCAAACCCACCTCCAATCATCAAGATGCAACCCCAATTGATGTTTTCTGAGCTTTCTCTACCAAAAAGTGAAGGTTTGATGAGTTGGGAATAAATACCCCAAAACATAACCTAAAAAATGTGTATTTTGGCTCTTTTAATGACTTTCTATCCAGGGGACCACGCTAAGCGGCACAGATTCCTCTAAACGCACTCTGCTGTCATGAGAAAAAATAAGCTTTTTGTTTTCGCTATAACTTGAGAACCATAACTCTGATTAACGTCTGGTTCGAAGAATTGGAAAACTTATTCATTTATCTATCTAACAATGCCTAAATATCAACCAAATTGGTGATTTCGTATTCTTTGATTTTGAGCCTTATTCGTTGATGAGTTGCTCAAAATTGCGCATTTGAAGTTGTGTCTTCGACACTTTATTGTTCATGCTCCAAATATGCATCAATATCTAAAAAGTGAATGGAAAACTATCAAATGATACGCAAATACAAAAAAACTCAATTAAATACAATTTATACATAATCATACAAAAATCAGGGAATTATTCAAGGATATTAACAAACAAGAATCGAAAAGTGCCACAAACTAACTACTCAAAACACGACTTTTTGGCACCTAACACTGGGCCTGGACGGTTATTCTTTTATATTCATCAAGAAATGCTGATACTTTTTAAAATATGATTTCATCGGGTTCTTTAATAGTTTTTACTCCGGAGGGAATTTGTCGAAGTCAGTGACTTCTTCTTTCTTGACATTAGTTCCTAAGTCTCCTAATCTGATTTCTTTGGATGATTATAGACCTATTTGTTTGGTTGGTTGCATGTATAAAGAAATTTATAAACTTTTGGCGGGAATATTAAAAAAGTCTTGAATTCCATTATTTCTCTATGTCAAAGTGCATTTGTTCCAAGGAGACAATTGCTTGATGGAGTTTTGGTGGCCAACGAAGTGGTTGAAATTGCGAAGAAGGAAAAGAGAAATTGTCTTCTTTTTAAAGTGGATTTCGAGAAATCATATGATAAAATGAAATGGAATTTTTTAAGAAGTATGTTGGTAAAGATTGGGTTTGGTTCGATATGGAGAAGATGGATAGAGTTATTGATCTTTCAAAGTAAGATGCCAGTGTTAGTGAATGGTAGTCCGACGAAGGAGTTTGAGGTGGAGAAAGGTTTGAGACAAGACGATCCTCTCTCGCCATTTATTTTTGTTTTGGTAGCCGAAGGATTGGCGAGGCTAGTGAGGAAATCTATTGAAATAGGTGATTTTTGTGGTTTTGCTATAAATGTTAATTGTAGGGTGGATATGATACAATTTGTGGATGACACATTATTATTAGGTGAAGGTTCGTGGAAGCATGTTTGGGCGATTAAGTCGGTCTTGAGGGCTTTTGATCTTGTTTCGGGTTTGGGCATTAATTACCACAAAAGTAAATTGATTGGTATTAATGTTAGTAGCAACTTTATGGAAACACCGTCTTTTGTGTTAGCTTGTAAGGTGGAAAAGAGTAAATTCACGTTTCTTGGTATTTCGGTTGGTTTCAACCCGAGGTGTTCATCAACTTGGACGCCTCTTTTGCATAAGATGAAGAGACATTTGTCGGGTTAGAAAAATCGGTTTCTTAATCTTGGTGGTAGGATCACTCTTTTGAAGTCAGTTCTTTGCTCTTTAACTATTTTCACAATATCCTTTTAAAATATGTCGGTTAAGGTTGCTAAAGAATTTACGAAAATTCAAAGTAACTTTTTATAGGTGGGTATGGAGGATAGGAGGAAGATTCATTGAGTGAGTTGGAAGAATGTGTGTTTACATGTGGAGAAGGGTGAGATCGGAATTAAAATTTTAGTGGATTTCAATTTAACTTTTCTTAATAAGTTGAGATGGAGAATTCTTCAAGTTTAAGATTCACTTTGGCATGTTTTGTTGAAGGTAAGATACAATGACATTTCTATGAAGGTGTTTTGTGGTGGCGTTAGCAATAAAACTTCCTTGTCTTATTCTTCACGGTGGAAGGACATAATTAAAATAGGGAGTGCAAATAGTAACGATCTCATAGTGTCTTTTTGCGGCTTTAATATTGGCAAAGGATTTTCCACTCCTTTTTGGGAAGTTAGATGGGAGGAGGAAATGAGTTTAGTGGAGGAATTTTCGGTTTTGTTTGAAGCCTCTCAATTGAGAAAGGTGTCGGTGGCGGGTATGGGGGGTTGAAAGGAGGGGGTGTGGAGTTGGAGTGATTTCGGTTTGGGTGGGGGTGATTTGAGGTGTCCGATTTTGGGTTCTGGTTTAGCTTTCCTCCAAGCTAGGTTGGTTGATCATGAGGTAGGGAGGGAATTGACAAAGTGGTTTGGAGCAAGGAGACGAATGAGATTTTTTTTTTTGTTTCTTCTTGTTATGATTTTTTTTGAAAGAGATAGAATTCCGTTTGATCCTCCAATATACATGATGTTGTCTTCGGCTTGGTGTGGAAGGGGGAAGTCCCTTTTAAAATAAAAGCCTTTGGTTGAAGATTTTTTGTGAATAGACTTCCAACAAAGGACCTTTTGATGATTAGAAGTTTAGTTTTTCCGATTGATTCTCAAACGTGTGTTCTATGTGGTATAGAAATGGAAAGTAGAGACTATATTTTTTTTAAAATACAATGTGGTGAAGATCATTTGGAAGAAAGTTGCTTTATGGATGGGCAAAACAGATGAATCAAAGGAGGAGTACTTACCTAGTTACATGGATTTGTATTTATTTTATATAAAAAAAAAAAGTTAAAGGGGAGAAATTAGGAGTTGTTTGGCTTGCAATTTTGTGAACTTTATGATTATTAAAGGATGTGATTTGTTTCTGAAATGACAAGTGAAATGTGAATAATACGTTATGGAATATAAAGATTTTGACTTGGAGGTAGTCCTTAATATGAGATATTACTTATCCTAATTATAGTCTTTACGAATTTAATAAATATCATTTATTATTTTTATTATAGGTGTAATTGATTAGTAATTTTTTTATTAGGTTATCTTAGATTGTATAAATAAATTGAGGGACCTTTAATTCATCCTTATTAATATATTCTTACTTTAAAAAAAAATATAGTACTATAAATTCATCATCATCATGATAATAAAATATCTACTAGATATTTCTAAAACAATTTCCTTGAGTAAATTTACTCTAGAGTTATTTATAAGACATATTCATTCATTAATAATATCAGTCCATCCAAGTAATGAGAGAGCAGATATCATATTATTAATTATCAATGGAGTATTATAACAATACACATTATAAAAACAATTTGTGATGATTATTGTATAAATATGAAAGCATATTACAATTTAGACGGGGTAGGAAATGCAGTGGTATCAAAGACTTTAACAAAAAAACGTGTTCTTGGAATAGAGAGTTTTGACTGCAATATAGTGCCAATTGTAGCAATGAGTTTCCTCTTCACTTCTTTATTTATGCCACCCATTGATATTATCTCACCATAAGCAGCTGGTTCTTTGTTACCTTCAAATGATATTGGTACTGATGACTTCAATAGGACCATTACAAACTGCACAATTATCATGTTCACAATACAAATTTATTAAAAAATTCAAAATATAATCTATTGAAATTTTATATTTATTTTACACTACTTATTAAAAAAATATTTATTTTACACCTTTTGAAAATTATGAAAAAAGAATATTTCTATTTTTTTGGGTTATTTTTATAATAGTCATTATTCTTATTTTGGGTAGTACAAAATAATGAGATAAAAGCTGTACCCCAAAAGAAAACAATATGTTTAAGATATTATTATTGTTGAAGAGATTGGTGTTGACTTAATATGCTACCACAAATACACAAATAACTGTGTGCCGGTGCAGGGGTCCCACACAAAGGAAGGTGAACAATCCCATTCGCATTCTAAGCAATCACGAGTGGGAAATTGCCGTGCCGGCTCAGTCTTTTAAAGTTAGATTAGATCAGATTTATTTATTAAAAAAATTTATATAACTTTTCTATATATATATATATATATATATATATATATATATATATATATATATATATATATATATATATATATATATATATATATATATATTAAAGGTGATCACGGTTTGATTTAGATTAGTTTTAAGACAAAAAATTATTCAATTTAAAGATAAATTTATTTGCGGTTCGGTTTAGTTTTAGATGATATATTAAAAAAATTTAATCTGATCTGATCCAATTTTATGCGGTTTAATTTGGATCTGTTTTTAGATATCAAATTACATATTATATTTTTATTAATATTATAAAACTACTAATAAATTATAGATTTGATATAATATATAACATATAATATATTAAAAGTTAATATTATAAAATGAGATTGGTTGATTATGATTGAAATAATAAAAATAAATAAATTATACCAAACTAATAACTATTATTAAAAAAGTTATTATCATCAAATAATAAATTCATGTAACATATCGTACTAATAAAAAGTAAATAAGTATAAAAATATATGTATGCAGTTTGGTTTAGTTTGGATCAGTTTTGAAAATTTGATCTGAAATCAGATCCGAATCGATCGTTTTTCACAAAATGACATCCAAATATATCCAATAAATTTCAGTTTTATGCGGTTTTTGGTTTTTTGGACTGATTTTCGGTTTTTTATTTGAATTTGTTTGAATTTGAACACCCCTAATATATATCGATCTATAAAGCTTCTTAATTAATATGTATTTATTAAAAACCTTAATAAGAAATAGACTTTTAAATAGACTTTCAGACCAGTCCAGATTTTTAAAAAAGTCAGGGCATACAAAAAAAAAAGTCTATTATAAGTTATAGATCAAACTCAAACCTTATAAATTTATCGTAAGTCAAACTCAGACATTATAAAGTCTAACATAACCTAAACTATTTTCACCCTTACTAACAATAAATTTATTTATATTATTATTTTAGATTAATATAATTGAATTCAAAATTAAAATGATATTATTTATGTATTTTATTAAATTTTATTATAAAATTTATATAAAAATTTAATATATTTTGATGTTATCTTTAATTTTTCATATATATTAAAAAAAATTTATGTTTTTATAAATGTATTTATTTTTATTAAATAAAAATTAGTTTAATAATAATATAATAAGTTAAATAAAATAAACTACCAATTTCTTATTAAAAATGTCATTTTATATTATTTTATATTTATTGGTCAGTATAATAGTTAATTTACTAAATATTTAAATTAATTTATTTGTTATTAATTATTAACTATAATTAATTATAAGTTATTAACCATTAATTATTAATTATCAGTTATCAACTATCATTTGTCAGTTAGTTTTATTAAATACAATCATAATATATTTAATATGTTTGGATTAATTTTTGAAAGAGACAAAAATAATTTTAAAAATATAGAATTCACTGTGAAGTGACTTTAAGAATTAAGAATTAGGAATGGTGTAAATAATATCAATGAAATTATACAATTGTGATGAAAAAATTGGTGTAATGAAAGTTAAAAGGAATCTTATAATGTAAGACATTCTTTTATAAATAAATTAGCTGTTTTAAAACAAAAATTGCATGCATATGAATAATGTGAATGTGATGCGGATGGGAGAGAAAACCTGATCCTGTTTGAAAATCATTTTAATTGTTTATCTAATAACTTAAAAGATTAATTGTAATCTTATATTTTAGTTGGATACATGTGTAAAATAATTTTACATTATCGCTGTATGAGTATTATTTACATAATTTAATAATTCAAATCCTCGCTACAAAATATTTTAATTAAAAACTATTTTGTCAATTTTAAAATAGTTTATGTGGTTGATAATTTTACAAAAAAAATTAAGAGTGATATAAATAATATTAGTTAAATTATACAATTACAAAAATATAATTATAGGAAATGAAAAATTTAAAAATTAGTCATTTTGTGAGAATTTTTTTAAATAATTCATTTATTTAATAATAAAAGTATTATTATTTAAAAAATCAATTTTATATCAAAAAAACATAATCAAAAGTGTAATATTCAGTGGATAATAATTTCTAAAATTACTCTTTTTAATATATTGGTAAATTTAAAACAAAATTATGAAGACAAAATAAATGTATGAATGGAGATAAAATTCTTTAGTTTTGATCTATAAAAACAAAATGATATACAAAAGTGTAAAAATTATAAAATTAAATTAATGAGTCATTTAATGAAGTTACAAAATAGAGTGATTGTAAAAAAAACTAAGTACTTCAATTTAGTTTTGGATGTATTTACAAAGTACAATCAAGATTTAGTTATAAATTATATATATTTTTAAGTGATATAATCATACTTGAAGAAGAGTCAAAATAAAAATTAAATAAGAGACTAAAGACACCTTAGTAAAATAAGTAAGATATACAATATATAAAATGTATTTTTACCAAAAAGCAATGTGTTTCTATTTTAGAGGTAATAGTTGAAGATCCTATCATATCTTAAATAATATAAATTAACTATCATGAGTCCATCATACAAAACAACTATAGAAATAAGAGTTGTAAGATAATTAATTTAAGTTGGATGGTGGAACTGAGAGTTACATATATTTTAATACATATATTTTAATACATGTAATATGAAAGTACTATTCAAATTGAATAAACAAACAATTATAAGAATGACGATGATGTAATGGACAAATTGTTGGACCTAAACGAATTAACATAAAAATATCTAAGATGATGGGTTAGATATAGGGTTAAACTATATAAGTACTATTATAAAGAATAATATTAGAGAGTTGAGATAATACATATAATATATTTTTTTATTATAAATTATTTTGATATTTTCTAAATATTAAGAAACATGGTTGTTGTTGTATAACAAAAAAAATAATTTGCCGAATCCTCTTTCATTAAAAATATGAGAAAAATAAATTTAAAAAATTTCAAAGAAAATAGAATAATAAATACTAAAATATATGATACAAAATAATATTAATCATTCTATAAAACAATCTATAATTTTAAACATATTTGTCTCCGACAGGACTTATAATAAAAAATGATGGAAGTAAAATAGATTGCGAAAGTTAAGTTTAGGTGATTTGAACCTCTCAAAAGAAGACATTATATAAATGACGTCAAGAATATTAAATTGATCATTTAATATACATACCATATGGTAAGATAAAACCGTTGGGCTATTAATTTGGAAGTTCATCTCTCACTTTCATGAATAATATATTTTTGTGAGAGACTTATAATATAGTATTTATCTTTATAAATATTTAAGCTTTTATTTTTCTTATCAATGTAGTATTTTTTCATATTTTATTATTTTTTAAATTTATAACTCACGCTTGTCATTCTTAATATTTTTCTTAAGTGTGAATCTATCCAAAATGATTTTCTTTAAGTAGAAATTCTTTCATTTATATGCACTTGTACTTTTGTTAACACTTATCATCGAGACACCTCTTATCCACCATTATGTGGAGAGTTCTTTTGATACAAGTGAGTCAGTCTCTCCATATTTATACTTATATTTCTGTTTACACTCTTCAGCAGGACACCTTCTAGTAAGGGTGTTCAAAACCAAACTGACCTAATATAAAATTACAAAATCGAACTAAACCAAACTGAAATCGCAAAAAACCGTATTTGGTTCAGATGTGTTTGAGTCATTTTTATCAAAATCACGCGGTTCGATTTGCAGTTTGTATTTTACAAACCGAACTAAACCGCATTATGTTACAACCTAAACTTCACTAAACCCACATCCAACCCAAACACAAACCTATTATGCCTTAGCGTTACGATGAAGAGTGATTCTCTCTTTCTCACACTTAAGGTTTCAATTTAAGTCTTCACAAATCTCTCATAGCGATATCGTGCATTCTTCTCATCTTCTTTTTCAAGTACAACTCGTCTCTTCTTCCGTAGTCTTTAATTTCTTATGTTCTTTCTTTTTCATCTTATTATTTTTATTCTACTGTTCTCTCTTTCAATTACGTTTTAAATGCACATTTCTTATCTCTCATCTCTTCTGCTCTTTCTCTTTCATCTCTTCTGCTCTTTCTCTTTCATCTTCTCTAACATGTCATCTCCTCTATTTTTTCTATTTTATTATAATATTTTTTATATTATTTTATGCTACTATTTTATGTTTTTTGTTCCACTTTTCTCTAATCTTATTTTTGTATATTAAATGAAAAGTTGTTATCCAAATATGATGAATTTTGTTGTTATTTGATAACGCATAAATAGCTAAATAGAAAGTTATGTTATAGTCTATATGTGTATGTATGACTCAATATTTTTTTTGTAAAAATTCAAACCAACCGAACCAATCCAAACCACATTAGTTTGGTTTGGTTTGATTTTATTTCTAAAAGTGAACCGAATCAAACCAAACCGCACACTTTTTCGCTTACGGTTCGGGTGATTTTTTACGTTAAAATCTCCCAAACCGCACCGCAAACACTCCTACCTCCTAGGGTGGACAAAAAATTTGATCCCGTCTGAGACCCGCTATTTCCGATCCAAAGTTTA